CCCATAATACTAAAGTACACTGACTTACTAGAGACAGAAACACTCGACTTCTGAAGATTCAAATACTGTAGAATATGCAAAGGCTTGAGCCAAGAGGATTTTTAAGTGTGAGTTTGTTAAACGTAAAAAAGATCAGCTTCAGTTCAACTTCTGTATTATTTAAGTTTGTCGAAAAAATTAGCGCTAGTCTAAAATTACAGAAAAACACGATTATTGTAAGAATAGAGATTTTGAAACAGCTGTATCTCTGAATCTACTCCGTAGATTTTAACTTACTAAGTAGTAGTTCTGTGATGATGTCAAAACTTACTAAATTTTGCTTACTACGATGTGTTGCGACAGTTAGTGTTATTTGGATAGCCGCGTCTGTGTGTCTTCTTTTGGTGTTAAAACCACTGTCACATAGTAGCTATACATAGGTATACTGACATTAAACAAGTATGTTATAATTCATACAATCTTACGTATCTTGATTTGGTTTGGATTAAATACTGTGTCCAAAACTTGATATAAGACATAGTCGCTTTCTCAGTTTGGTGAAACAGGTTGATATTCCCTTTAAAATTTTCGTTCGAATAGGTGAATACAGTTTTTTTTAATCTGCTGACTAGTTGTAAAGAAGTCATAACTCTAACGACTTTATTGTAATTAACAATTCAAATCAATACAATATCATTTTTTTGATATTTACTTTTAATACTATAGTATCCATTACTTCTATCAAGTAATTCTTGTACAGAAACAAGATCCTTTGTTTTTGTCAACTTTTGTAAATAAGTAAAGTGACTTTACACAACTGAAAGTAGCCTATCTGTTAAGCCCGTTTCTTAAATGCTGATATTACAAGAGTTTTCAATAAATCTTTAACTTTCTAACACGCATTCTCGAACATTTAGGAAGAGTACATCTCGATTTCTTATTGTTTGAGTTTTATTGATTTACATCTTAAAAGAAGCCCACTTTTGTTATACCTATATTCTACTGCAGAAAAACAAATAGGCCACTATTTTGCGATACCTATGTTTCATTTTTTTTATCATCTTTTATTTTAGCAATATTTGGTTACCATACTTACTTGTGCAAGTTACAACAACTAGTACCTTAAAAGTTGTTAATACACCTAAATCCTGGCGTAAATTTATTTGTCATAATACAAAGACAAAATCATATTAAAGTTGAAACTTGTAATAATAGTTTAATCTTACAAGTATTAGGTTATAGTACTATATCTTTACTTTCTAAGCGTTATTTAAAGATTTGTACAAAAAATCAGCTCTCTTAAAAATTTAGCTTTGTACATGTCCTAGGAAGATAAAACCAATAGGTTTTTTCTTCCCACTATAATATCTTTATGTACTTATAAAATTTACATTTCGTGAATGATACGTGATTTTTTGTAAAACAAGGGCCTTACAATAACTCTAAGCGTGGTTGCAGTATCTAATGTGATTCTTCTTCGTATAAAAGTGCCAATGCTATGTGCGTATTTAAATGAACCCTTAACACAAGAAATTACTATCTTAACTGTGTGCCTTAAACTTGTCTGCATCGTTTTTCAAGATGGTAAGTTACTCTAACTTTGTCTTTCAACCTCAGTCAGTACGTATTTACCTTTTAAAGTGAAATTTCTTATATTGGGCTGTAAATGGCCACTTTAGGGAAAATGCATTAAGAAAAAACGCAGCCGTATACCCTGTGGACCAAGCCCTCTCCTCAACTTTCTTTCTTCCACACTTCCTCCTGCTCCGTCTCTCTCTCATGCACCGTGCACCACTCTGCTGTCTACTGATCTGTCTCTCTCTTTCTCTTGCATGTACACTGCGCTCTACTTTCTCCTCACGCTGCAACTATACCAATACATGTACGTATATTAAAGGTATGAATGTTTCTACGCTACAACTAGGACGAAACACTGTATCTGGAAAGGGAAGCAAAGTTGGAAAAAAGCAGTTTTTAAGGGCTTCTTAAGGAGGAACTACATAAGTGAGATAGACAAATATAGAGGGGTTGAACAATATACAAACATAACCTTAGTTATTTCTTTTTTTGACTGTATCTTAAAAGAACGAGTAAAAAAATTTTTTTTTGTCTATACCGTATGTAAATAAATAATATTGACAGTTACAAGATCTTTGAAAAATTTTTGTGACAATATAACCTTTTAAAATTCGAAGAATAGTCATTTTTGGAAAAGGCTGCTAGATAGACCCAAGAGAATCATTTTCATGGATTTTTTAAAAAGGAACTACATGATCGACGTGCACAAATAGAAAGTGGTTAGACTATGCACTAACATAACCTCAATTTTTTATTTTTTAACTACATCTTAAAATAAACAAGTCAAAAAAAATACTTATTTAGTATGGCATACTAAGAACATTAAGACGGATGTTGACAAAATCTTTAAAGAATATTTTTTTACTATAAACTCTCAAAATTCGGAATCAGTTGTATCTCAAAATGTAAGTAAGATAAGCCAAAAATAATTCTACGTACAGAAAATAGTTATTGCGGTGAAAAAATATATGTAACACGGATTTATATTAAAAATAATTGTCACGTTACCGAAACCTATGTTGTTATTGCTTATTTCAAGATAAGTAGAAATTAATTGTGAGCACGGGTGAATAAAGCAACTTGAATAAAAAATTACAACTATATCATGGAAAATAGCTATATTTTTATTGTTTTCCTTCATCTTAATAAGATAACTAAGGTTTATTAGTTTACATTTATGGTAGCCAAAATTTAAAAAAATTCTTATCTGTTGGATACGATGATTCCAACAAGAATTGATTCTACATATATGATGTCAAATTAAAGACACGAATAGTAATTTTAAATGAATGCAATTTTTGTCCCACGTAACTGCTTAAAAAAAACCTTTTTTCGAGGCAGTATGGTCAAAATTTTTGTTACGTTTTGCATCATACGATTAACACTTCGTACATAAATTATTACATTATGAAAATACTTTAAATGCGCGAATCACGTGTAACAAGTAGTATATATAAGTATACGTTTTTTATGCACGCGTCTACTTGAATACGTAAAAATAATAAAACTTCTAAGTGGTCATGCGCGAGGACTTCATGATAAGCCATCTCTTATGGCATTAACGACCTCTATTTACACATGCAACTCACAGCCCATTCTGCGCGCTCGTGCGAGTGCATGTGTACATCAGAGCCTTTGCAGAGGCACATAAGATGGCTCTTAATTTCGTCTTCCACGCACGCTGCGTCTGAAGGTTGTATACACCACACGTACAAGAGGTTATATGTGACTGACACACGCGTCTCCTTGCTTTGCACACTCACTGGCACTAGTATACGAACTGACATGCGAGCATTATTTGCCTTTTCCACGGACTAGTATCATAATGTCTGTTTTACAATTTAAATATCAGATTATTAGGGACTTATTAAAAATGGGTGTACTCTCATTTTCTCAATTTATGTTCAACCAAGTTAAATAACATTAGAGCTGAAAGCTTTGCTTCTGCCAGGGTTCTGAGATCCACACGAGACTTTAACTTTGTTAGTCATATTGATACATCCCGAGTTAATGCGAATTATATGATAACTAGAAGCTATCAGTCCGTCAAATCGAGATAAAATGTATTGTGAATATAAAGCAAGCTCATATGACAAGAGGAACTCATACGTAATTTATATGTGTGTGTAATAGATTTAGGGTAAATTTTCAATAATATGCTGACATATGGTACTCCAAGCCTCTTCGTAAGAACGCTCGTATGTATTGTAAACGTTTTGTATGTATAAATAAGTCAATCGTACTGTATATATAAATGAGTAGCTTACTTGCGCATAGATTGTCCACTTCTAATAACACTGATTTTAAAATTTGCAGTTAACATACAATTTCACTGCATTCAAAGTTGATTGTAAAATTCCCAGACTAATTAATTTAAAAATTTGTAAACTCACTGTCACAATTAAACTCGTATTTGGGTTCTTATATTGCTGATACAAGCTTTCATCATCACTGACCCAAAAAAACTCAATCACACTTGTCAGAAAAATGCGATTAGTACTGTTGTATCAACACTTCTTTATATATAAAATCATAACATGTAATATCATAGTGCAAGCCTACTGTTTTGCTGTCAACGCAATTTGCAAGACTATCGCTCATTGGTTAAACTAATTCAACCAAAAGCCTTTTTTACTCGCTCTGACGCTATAAAAACTCTCCATCAAGAGGAAAAATTACTCGTCCTCTAAAGTTTTAGTCTACTTTTGACTCTCGTGACTCACGAGTACCTTATATACGTAAGGCATAATGTGCTGGCTGAGGCAACTTGGGTACAGTTCAAGAATATGAATAATATCAGACTACGGTAAGGAGCGAGGTACAACGAAAGAGGCCCACCAAAAGTGGCTCCGGTGATAGCAGAGAAGGCAGAAAACGCAACCTCTTATAGGCCACAAACTTATCAGTGCAGTATAAGTAATTACTGAGAATTACTGCACGAAGCAGCTAAGGGAACTTCGAAGCAGCAGTAACAACAGTCAGTGATAGATGTTAGTTTTTCATTAGTAATATGATTTATATCAAAATCTATAAGGTGATCTGAATGGACTGTATTTAAGAGAATACTTGTTTTGAATTGTTTTAGTAAGAAAATTGAGAATTAAACATTGATCAAATTATTAGTATTTTTCAAATAATAATTTTGACTTGACTAAAAAAAAACAAATAAATTTAACGAGCTAAATTCTAAGAGATCCACGAATAACATTAAGATAAAACAGTTAAGACCATACTTTAATCGAGTCCAGTCATAACATACTTTTAATTATTTTTCTCAATGTTTGGTACTTTATCTATTCATGTATATACATATTTCTCTTGACATATCTACATCAAATATACTTACTATTTTATAGACACTTGGGTAAATGCTTTACTAGTTTTACGTGAGATTTATTAAAATGAAAAGTGTATATTAAATGTTAACTAAAACTATTTTCTAGGAGCTGCAGAAAAAAGTTCTAAACATGGAGCAGAAGACAAAGCTAACAGTATAATAACAGCAATGAAAGAGAGAATGAAACACAGAGAACGAGAAAAACCAGAAATTTTTGAACTCATACGGTATGAATATTTGTACTTAGCTACCAAAATTTAATACATATCAATGATTAGTTACAACAGACATCGAAATATTTTATAGTATATTATTTTAAAATATTTGTTTAAATCTTAAAATCTTTAACAAAAGCATGACTATGAAAAAGAATTATTTTGACATACATGCGTGGACTTTTTATTGTTATAAATATCATTTAATAATTTTAAGAAATTTTTTAAAAAATGAAAAACCTAAAATGTATATGTCTCATAAAAAAATCGAAAATTAAAAGTGAGTTAACAATCTTAAAACTTTTTTTAGTAAAACCTGAGTGAGGACATTAATTAAAATGAAAGACTAAGTTCTTGATAGATGATAAATTTATTATAACATGTAGGGGAACGTGGGGTGGAGGTGGGCATAGCCGATAAAATGGGCATGCAAATATTTAAAAATAAAAACATATTTTTAGCTGAATCCTCTTTAATATACATATACAACATCAATAGTTTCTCCATCCAAACAAATTTACCGGACTAAAAGCTTTTTTTTTTACTACGAGCTGATTTAATTCTTAGTCGAAGATAACCTACTAAAAAAAAATTTTTAATCACTTGGCAAATTTATTATATATGACCTACATAATTATCCATGATATTATTCGAAAGCTTAGATCTTTAACTTTGACAGGCTATTTTTTTT